AGGCTATAGCCTTTTATATATAACTTGCGGAAATTATATAAGAAAGCTAGTTTTTCTATAATTCTAGAAAATAATTTCTTTTTAGTATTTAATTAATTAAGCTTTTATATATTATATACTATTTATACTTTACTATTTATATTTTTGATTTTATTATTTTATTATTAAATTACGTTTTATATTCTAGTATATTTTATATAGGTTTTTGTCTTATTATAATTTCTCTCTTATAATAATCTAAACTAATAAGAATTTTAAAAGAAGTTAATATTATTCCGGATTATATAATATTCCGAGAAATTAATCTATTATACTTTTCTTCTACTATATTCTTTCTAGTAATCTTATTACTAGTATATATATAAGGCCTATAAGATTATAGGATAGGGCTTAAGAGTAATAGTTAGGTTACTAGTCTATAAGTATTTATTATTCTAGGATTTAATTAAAGAATAGCCTTTATTTAAGGTTTTTTAATTTTCGGGTTTTCGGGAAAGTTTCTAATATATTATTAGTATATATTTATAAAAGTATAAAAACCTGATTTCTCTAAGGGTTTTAAAGCTTTTTGCTTTTATTATTCTAAAGTCTATTACTTATATTTCTGAGGTTTTATTATCTTAGTAATACTTATATTTCTAATAGTTCTAAATTAGTTTATTTAAAATCCTCTATAGAATTAAAGAAAATAAGCTTTAAATATTATTATGAGTATAGTATTTAGGGCTTAGAAAGCAAGATAAAAGATTTCTTATAAAGATAATTTAAAGCTAAAGAAAAGAAAACTAGAATATAGAAAACTATAAGGAAATATATATATCTTATAATATACTAGTTCTAAAGAAGCTTAGTTTTCTAAATATCTCTAGTATATTCCAAGTATACTTCCCTAGTAAGGCGGCCGCATTATATATATCTAGAAAACATCTAGTATCTAGCTAGATATCTCAGATACCGGATATCTAGGAATTATAATAATAATAAAAAAGAAGGCTATAAGATTACTTTTATATTTATAATTATATTAATAAATAATAAAGCTAAAAGATATTATAGAATTAATTAAAAATAATTAAAGAAAACTTAGAAAGAAATAGAAATAGAAACTAGAAAATAATAATAAAAGAAGTTATTATATATATAATTATTATAAAAAAAGAAAATATATAAAAATATAAAAAGATTCTTTTATAAAATAGTATTTTAGTATTTTAAATTAAGCTAATTAGAATATTTAGTTCCTAAATAAAATTATAATTATTAGCTAGTTCTTATATCTGAAATATAATTATTCTTTTTTCTTATTTATTTAGCCCTAATTTAATTAAATACTTTTTATATTTATTATTTAAATTATATTAATAAAACTATTTCCTAAAATACTAGAAATTTATTTTAATTAAATATTTTACTAGAATAAATTAATAAATCTTAGAAATAAAATCTTAGAAAAGAAATATAATTATAATATATATAAAGTCATATATAACTTAAGAATATATAATAAACCTCGAATATTATAAATATTAATTAAAGAAATTAATAGCTCTTTAATATTATAATTATATTATTATTTATATTATAAGAATTAGATTTATAAATTACTAATTATATATATATTATTAGGGCCTCTTATTTAGAAAAGGCTTTTCTAAATCTTATAAAAGAAATAGAAATTAGTTTTATATTAAATTTAATATTATAATTTTATAACTTATTAATTTATTTTACTATTTTATTACTTATTAATAAATATATAAAAATAATATAATATATTCTAATTATTAAAGAAATCTCGGTTTCTAAACTAATAAAGCTATTTATATATTATATTATTAAAAACTTTAATATATTTATAAATATGACTTCTAATAAAATATAAATTTTTATAAATTTTTTTTAGTTAAGTTTATATTTCTATTTAAAAATTTAGTAATAATTAAATATAATATTTTATTTATAAATAAATAAATAAATAAAGAATCTAAATTAAATTCTAAAATAATATTTAAAGTATTATACTAGCTATTAATAAAATAACTAAATAATAAAGCTTATTTTTATAGAATTTATATATTTAATAATAGAAATATTTCTATTTTATTCTAGTATTAAATTATATATTAAAAAAAAATTAAAAAAAAGTAATAGATATATAAAAAAAGTATTATAATATAAAATATATTAATATAAAGTTTAAGATATATAATAAAATTATAGAAATTATAGAAATATAAAAATAAATATATTATTTAGAATTATTATTATTATATTAAATCTATAATATTTTCTATTTTTTTTATTAAAATTATAATATTTATAAACTAGTATTATAATAGAACTAGAACTAGTTAAAATTAAGAATTAAAAAAAGTTTAAAATAGAATTTATTATAGTTTATAAAAAATATAAAAAATATAAAAAAAAATTTATTTATTAATAAATAATATATAAGAATTAATAAATAATTTAGAAATTATAATTTAAGAATTATAAAAATATTTTTAAAAAAATATTATAATATTATTAGCTAAATAATAATATAAAAAATAAATACTTTTATTAGAAAACTATTAAAAATTATATAAAAATTATTAAATACTTTAAATACTTTAATTTCTATATTTTATAAATATCTTATTTTTATTATTATTCTTATTAGAATTATTTTAAGAAACGAAAAATAAATTAATCTAAAAAGCTATTAGTTATTAATAAAAAATATTAATTATATTTATATTAAGCTAATAAGAATTATTTAACTTATATTTTAAATTATTAGAAGAATTTATTAGTCTCGAATAATAGTTTTAATATAAAAAGTATATAAAGTTTAATAAAAAAAATTAAAAAATAATAGTTTTTTTATAAGGTATTTATTAGTAAGTAATAAGATAATAGAATGAATTAGTGAGTTATGAAATTATAGTATTAAATTTAGTATAGAACTAATTTCTGTCTTTTCTATAAGGTTCAGGGAAGCCCTTTCTAAATAGGAGGCCCTAATAACATATATATAATTAGTAATTTATAAGCCTAATACTTATAATATAAATAATAGTTAGTTATAAAGTTAAAAGGCCTCTAATTTCCCTAATTAATACCTGTAATATCCGAGGTTTATTATATGCCCTTAAGTTATATATAATTTTATATATATTATAATTATATCCTCTTTCTAGAATCTTATTTCTAAGATCTATTAATTTATTCTAGTAAATATTTAATTAATTAATTATTTAATTAAGGTAAACTTCTAGTATTTTGGAAAGTAGTTTTACTAATATAATCTGGATAATAGATATAAAAATTATCTAATTAGATTAGAGCTAAGTAAGCGAGAAGGAAAGGTAATTATATTCCAGATATAGGAGCTAGCTAGTAATCGCGATTTCGTTTGGGATCTAAATATTCTAATTAGCTTAATCCAAAGTATTAAGGTACTATCCTATAAAATTAATACTACTTATTAGATCTTATATTAGAATAATCTAAATAGCTATATAGAAAGAATTTAATAAATATTTATATAAGAAACTCATATAAATATTTCTAAGATCCTAGAGATTATTTACGGGCTTCTAGAAGTATATATTAATTAGTTATACTAATTTCCGATTAGAACTAGTACGAAAACTAGTAATTAATTCAGGTAGTTCTTTATTTCTATAAAAGAACTTTTTTATATTACTATATACTCTTTTTCTTTCTAATAATTATATATATTATTAAGAGAATAAAAGTATATATTAAGTATATAATATAGATAAAGAAATAAAGCTCTTTTATATATACTATATATATAAATCGAGTGGCTAGTATATGTATTCTATATATATACCAGGCTTATAAATTGCTCTTTTAATACTTCTATATAATTAAGAGCTCCTATAGGATCTGTATATATAAGAAGAGAGTAGAGGCTAGCTCCTATATATAAATAGAACGGGCTATCTTTAGTAAACTATAGCTAAAACCCCTTATAGGAGAAAAGATAATCTATAGAAGAATAATGAGCCGTAATAAAAGAGAAGACAGAAAGTAATTAGACGAACTAAGCTAAGTAGATAGCTATGGATTAAACTATCCGAGCGGAATTCGAATTATACGAATATTATATAGTAAAACTACTATATCTCTCTTCCGGATACCGAGAATTCTAGCTCCTATAGGCCTATAGGCCCACTAGTTCATTCCACTCCTATAGCCTTCCTAAATATCACGAATTTGTCCCGGTATAAGGCCTTTATAAGTCTATCTATTACTTACTCTGAGGTAGGAATATAGTAGAGGTTAATTCGTCCTTCTATAAGCTTTTTATAGACGAAATAGTACTAGATATTAATATGTTTGACTCGTCCGTAGAATTAATTATTCTTTACAAGTATAATAGTTCTTTAATTATTCTTATAGATAATTATGGCCTCGAGACCGGGATCTCTCGGGTTAATTTACTTAAGGAACCCTTAAAGCCAGATAGCTTCCTTAGTAGTATTTATTTAACTAATATATTCCGCTTTATATATAGATAGGGATATTATAGGCTAGTATTTAGAAGACCAGGAAATTATAGTATTCCCGAAGCTAAAAACGTATCCGGATATTAATTAATAGATATCTGGATCCCCGGCCTAATCCGAGTTTATATAGCCAGAAAATAGCTATAAAGTACCGTAAAAAACCAGCCCTAGATCTGCTATATTATAGAAGTACCAGAGGATCCGTTCTATAGCTCTTATATAGGTCTTATTAGGATTTAAAGAGAATTATAAGATTACTAAAACCGTAAAAATAAGATTCAGATAGGTCCCGAGTATAGCATATATTAGGAAGCTTATAATAGACTAATACTTATAATAGAGTATTTAATTCGCTTAATTATCCGCAGGTATAAACCGGGAAAAGATTTCTATTAGTATAGAGACGGGCTTATAAAAGCCAAACCCGTAATCTTAAAGTACCTTTTCTATATAAGCTTTCTGGAAAAGCCAGAGAATCCGTTATAGACGGTTACGGATAACCTCTATTCTAAGGTAGAAGTAGTATACTTCAAGATCTAATATCTTAACCCGCTTATTTAGAGTAGCCTTAATTCTATTAATATCTGGCTTAGAAGCCCCGGTAATTAGGAGATTATTTATATAGATTATAATAATTATATTATCCCGGTAAAAGATAGAGAAGTTAGTATTAAGAGATTTAAAATCGAGTAAGGCCAGGAAGATAGTAAGTATATTATATTAGACCTATAAAAATTACTTTAAATTATAGAGGGCTTTTCTTAATTTTATTATTCTAGAGATCTTATAGTTTATAAGGAATTTAATCTAGATATTCTTATTTATATCTTTATATCTTTATATAGTCTTAATATTTATTTATTTAATTTCTTAGTTATATATAGCTATAAGAGCGAAAATAGCCTTATAAGATATAGGCTTAATTATAGAAATAAAGGTCTTATAAAAGTCCAGGCCCTCTTTCTACTCAAACCTATAAATAACCTAGCGGGCCTTATACTAGAGAATCTTTCTATATATTCTATACTTGATTTTAAAGACATATTTACTTATAAGTATTTAATAATTTAATAGGTAGTCTTATTTAGTTTATATCCTATTTTCTACTAAAAACTAGTATTTCTCTTGAATTACTTATTCCTACTACTTTTATTATCTGCTATCCTTAGCTTCTTATAATATTTATAGCTCGAAAGACTTATAGGAATTAGTATAACTAAGAAAGGAAAAGAGAGAGAGCTTATTAAATATAGAAAAGTAGATTAGGAAAAGATAGAATATAAGAGGATTAAGAGAATCGGATACTTAATAGAGGAACTCATAAGAGAGAAAGAAATACTCGAGAGATTCTGGTTTATCTATATTCGTATTTATAATTAAGGAGAAGGAAGTTTATAGATAAAGTTCTAGGTAATAGATATATTTAAAAGAGTTAGTATCTTTATTCTCTAAGGGCAAATAGAACTCGGGATTAGGGTCTGAATCTATAGACGGTTCCGGAAAGAAAAGGTTCTCGAAATTATAAATAAGCTTATTTTCTACTATAGCTTACGGATATAGAGAAGCTTAGTATAAGTTCTCCGGATTCTCTGGTTCTTTAAAGTCGGAATTGAGTTCCGGATACCAGAAATACTCTTATTTAATAACCTATAGAAGGAGAGGCTCTTATTCTAGCAAAGTACCTTCTCAGAAGGCCCGTAGACTTAGCTTAATAGATAAGCCTTACTAGGCGGAGCTATAGACGGTCTATAAGCGAGAAGATATAAAGTTAATTACTAGAGAGGCTTCTGGGAAGTATTTAATAGATATAGTCCGTAAGAATTATGGCTAAGGTATACCTGGAGCTAGTAGCTAGTTCCGGACGAGTAAAGTATAACTTAGAGCTATTAGAACGGGAAGAGGCTCAGGAGAAGAACATACTACTCTCTCGGGAGAAGAACTACCAAACTCGAGCCAGAAGTTATTATAAGAGATAGGTAAAGCTTACTAGAGGTTCCGGTAGATTAACTAGTATAGGCCTGGCGGTTAAGAGAAGCTCAGGGGAAAACCTGAGCTAATTAGGACTAGTAGATATAGAGCAGGAGGGCTAGTACTAATTTGGACTAGTAAATATAGAATAAAGGCCTATAAACGTGGCTAAGATCCGTAAGATAATAGTCTAAGGGAGCTCAGGAAAGGCCCGAAACTAATTAGGACTAGTAATTACGGGACAGGGGCTCTTAAATATAACTGAGACCTATAGAATAATATCCGGGTCTTAGTAATAAGCTAAATAAATTAGTTTTTGTCTGCCGGATACTTCTTTCCTTAAACGGGGTACGAGAAAGTAATTGAGATTAGTATAGGCTTAATATACTCAAAGGTATAGTAAACTCCGGATCTAGTAGGATCTATAAAATAATTTATATCCGGATTTTCCTGGATATCTTCCGGATTAAATTACTACTAGAGTATTCGTTTAATAATTTATAGGGCTATAGCCTAGTAAATCCGTTCGTCTAGTTTAAGGATATAGTATAGGGTATTTCTCTTATATCTAATAAGAATTCCTTTACTAGCTTTATTATAAATAAGCTTCTATAATTTTCCAGAATTACTATAGTAAATAGTAGAACCAAATATATAAATATAACTAATATATAAGTAATAGCTATATTATACCTTAAATAAAGTCTTCTTAATCTTGAAATAGGGACTTTATATATAAAGATATATAATATACTTAATAGCCTCGGGCCAGAACTTGAGGTTTAGGCCCGTATATTTAAAAAACGAAGCTATTTTATAATAAATAGTTTATCTAAGGCATTTTATAGATTCGTTTATTTAAAAGATATATGATTTAGTTAGTTCCTACCTAATTCCTTCTTTAAAAAGTACTTTCTGGAACTTATTAGTAATATATTCTCTTCTATTATTATTATAGAGACACTTAATAACCTAGCCCAGATCCGGCTATTTATAATACTTCTTAAAGTAAATAAAACTATTTATTATATTACCCTTAGTCTTAATTAGGTAAACTACTATAATATATGCTTAAGATAATTATATATAAAATAACTAGGTACCGGCTTCTATTATAGCCTAGTATAAGTATTAAGCCTATTATATTCGAGTAAATCAGGTCTATTTTATGCTTTCCCGGCTTAATTAGGTAGTTATATAGTAATTAATAGCTCTTAAATATAAGATATATCTCGTAAATATAATCTAATAAGTAGTATTTTTTCATAAGATTAATATTCTTATATATAAATAGTAAACGGGCCATATTCTATAAACTCAGATATCTTATATAATTATATTACTAAATAATATTAGTTCGGATTATATAGGCTTAAGTAATAGTAGGTTTCTTAATAGGGGGCTTCTTAATAGCCAGAAAAGCCCTTGATATAGAGGAGATCTATAAAGCTAATAAATAATATAAGATAGAAGAGACTTTAAGTAAAGGAAAATATTATAAATAAGTACTTAGTAAGAGAGAGTTTGGAACAGATAGCTATAGAACTAGAAAAGGAAAAGAGGCCAGAAAAGGAACCGGAAAAGAGGCTTCTATAGTAAGGCAGGTAAAGATAGGCTATTATTTTATTTAATCCAGGAGCTAGAGCCCGTATTTTATAGATATATTAATCTTAATCTTACTTATAGTCTAATAGATAGCTTCTTCTATAAAAACGGGCTGTATTTTCTTTCCTTTAAAGATCTGGGATATAGAAATAAGGTTAAATGGCCCTATAGATAAATAGTACTTGATCTCGGTTAAGTAAAGAAGTATTAGATAGTTACTAGAACCAGGAATTAGGATTTCGATTATCCTAATTTCTTTAAAACATATACTACTCCTAATACTACTATAAGTATTATACTAGCCCTTCCAGAGCTCGGAGAAATTAGCTAAAATACCCGTAATATAATTTATATAGCCTATTTTAATAATTTACTTATTTTAAAGCAAGTAAGGTAGGGCTAAGAAGACTTAATTATCTATTAGAATAGGAATAATATTCTCGGATATAAAATTATTAATAGCTATATAATTAATTATTAGGGTATCCGTATCTATAGTATCTGCGGTTTACTCGGGTAAAGAGAAGGCTTTTAGCTTCTTAAAATCTCTCTTGCTTTTATTTATTTGCTTCTACTTCTTATTTCGGGCTTTTTATTTATTATTAAACTTTTTCTTAAGATATAAGTACTTTAGAAAGTATTTGGCCTCCGTATAGTAGTTCTTATTATAATAAGTATAATAGTTAATTATACCGGATAAATAAAAGAAGCTATAAGTTATAAGAGCTATTCCGGTACTAGTAATTAATAAGAATTACTACTTCTCCTTATTATAGGCCTTCTAAACCATAATATTAAACGTAATTATAAGGGTATTAATAGAGGTAATTAGGGCTATAAATTAAGTAAGTATAGTAATAAAGATATTATATATAGAGCCAAGGCCTTAGAAAAAGTAAAAAATAAGCTAAATCTCTGAGAATATAATAAACGAGTAAAGGTTTTCTAATTTATAGTTAATTTATAAAAGCTAGCCCGAGAAATTAGTAATACTTTTATAATTCCTAAGATAAAGAATATAGAACCAGATTATAAGCTCTATTAGCTTTCTAGAGCCCTTTTTATAGCTAGCCCGGAAAATATTAAATATCTAATATATCCGGATCTTTAATTTAATCTTTTAGTAATTATTATACTTATACTTACTCCGGATTACTATATATATATAGCCTTATTTCTTTATCCAGATTAGGAGTACTCTATTATACTTTGCCTTAAATAAGGTATAGTTTATATATTAAGTAAGATATATTATTTACTAGGCCTCTATAATACTATCTAGAAGATCCGCTAGAGGAGGCAGGTAATATAGCTTCTTTACTTATTATATTATATTTATAAAGCCTTCTATTATAAGTATTTCCTCTAGTTAATAGAAGAAGTCCTATTAATTAGATCCGTTATTCTTGAGCTATAGAATTAAGCTAAGAGATATTCTACTTATCTTACTCTTATTAGATAATATGGCTTATTTATCTAATTATAAGTCTGGAATCTTAATAACTTTAATAGGAAAGGAATTAGCTAATCTATAATACTTATATAAATATAGATAGGTAAGTTATAAAAGACAAGAGGAAGAATAAGAGAAAGGTAATAGGGACTTTAAGTAAGGAGGTCTTTATAGAGAAGAATATAGATATAGAGGATCTGAGTCTGAGCTTAATAGCTTTTATAGAGAAAGAGGCTCGGATTCAAAATAGAAGAACTTAAAAGGGGCCTCTTAAGGGGCTAAGAGAAGGAGAGAGCAGAACTATATAATAGTTAGTTAAGCAAGAAGTAAGACTTGAGAAAGAGGATAAGAGAGAAAGTAAGTCCGTAAGGGGATTACTACTTGAATCTCTCAAGGGAAGCAGATCATAAAGCTAAAAAGATCCGAGGAACCGGCGGGCAAATAGTAACTCTCTTGAAAATCTGCTTGAGAGAGGGAAATAGAGAAATATAGCCTATTAAATATAGACGGATAGAAATCGGGATCTAGAAGGCTATAATATATATTAAATATATCTTGAATAGTACTCTTAATATAGGAGAGCTAATAGCTAAGATTATATTATATAAGACGGTAATTTGGTAGAGATTACTTAAGTTAGAAAAGGGTTTACTTAGTAAGTTATGGGCAAGAAAGAATAATAGAGGTTCTCCCC